CTTCTAGCGTCTCTATGGACTCCATCACGGCAACGGCAGCAGGAGCAGGAGCCAGAGAGACGCCAACCGTTTCTGATGCACTTAATCTAGAAAGCTTTTGTTTTTCTCTTCTTTTCTTCGGCTTTCAGTCCTCTACTTTTGTCCCCCACTCCCTCTTCTCCAGGGGTCGGTGAGTGTGGACGTGTCCCTCTACACGACGGAACAGTGGAGCTGGAACAGCCTCTCTCGACGGCCTCTTCGCGCCGCAGGACGAAAGCCCGCCAAGGTGGTGGGGAGGAGCAGAGAGGCACCGATCCGTGCACCGCAAAGGGAAAAGAATAGAAGATATAATAATAAATTAATTAATTAACTAATTAACGGGGACCAAAAGTACAACACAGAAAGAATGTGCGTGCGTCATCTGCAGCCACAGTTCCCCCCACCCCGGGCAGCAGGCAGACACACACGCGTCTATCCTTCACACTCCCTCGGAAGGCAACATAAAGACAAGAGGGCGAACTGCTTTCGACAACCAGCGAAATCACTTCGCCCCGTTTTCACGTATGCGTACGCACAGCTTCTACGGAGCTGTGAGAGAAATGGGAGAGAGTCATTTGTGCGTGTGTGTGTGTGTGTGTGCAGAACGGCCCTCCTTCCCCCCTTTGGCATCATTCCTGTACAACCTCCCCCGCCGTTCATGACTGGGCCGCCTTGGCGGTTTTGTTGTCCAGCAGCAGACGTAACTGCTCCTCTACCATGGATCGTAGCTTCTCCACGCGGTGCATCAGTTGTGTGTAGACGACGCCCTTCGCCTGGGCGTCTACCCAGTCGGAAACCTCACGTAAGCGATCCGCGTATTCCTGGTGCCCGGGGTACTTTGCGTCACCGACAAGTGTCTGGGCAAGCAGTGAGAGCCGCATAAGCAGGGCCTCACGCAGTGCCTCCTCGTGCGGCTCAACGGAATCAACACGCTCCGTGAAGTTGGATATGTGCAGGGTAACGATGCGGGGCGACGCCAGGTCCCGCAAGAGTGCCACACTTCGCTCATGAATTGCCTGCATCAGCGGCAGCGACTGCATCTCCGAATGGCCTGCGATATCGCGTGCCTCAGCGAGCGTGCGCCGAAGGCGGGGCTCAAATGTGTCTACCCACCACCTACAGCCCGCTTCGACGCCGGAGTTGGCGTGCTCGCTCTGCAGGGCCCGGCGCATCGTGTCGTACACGGCGATGGCGAGCTCCATCCAGGTGCGGTTCACCACCACCAGCGCCTCGCGCACGGCCCGGTTCGACGTAAGGCGCTCGCTGCGCTCCAGCAGGACGAGGAAGTTCGTGTCCATCACCGCCACGTTTGACATAAACGAGGCGGCAAACTCCCGAATATCCCTCAGGGTCTTCAGAGTGTACAAAGTCTCCTGCTGCTCGACACACCACGCGAGCAGCCGTTCCTGGTCCTTAAACAGCTCCGCGGTGCTCTCCCGCAAGAGCGACTGTTGATGGCGCTCGTGGTTCAGCAGAGCAGCGGCCTGCAGCTGCATCTTGCTCACCTGCTCCAGTTGGGCGTAGAGGGGCCGCGTGGAAAGCGCCGGGGGCGCGGCGTCTTTGTTCTTTTCCAAGAGGGCGATCGCACGGTGCACGGCGCCCGAAAACGCTGCCCAGGAGTCCACCGCATCTGCGCAGCTCGCCACATGCACCGCCGTGGAGACGCACGACAGCACATGGGCAAGTTGCTCTCGTCGCAGTGCAAGCCCAGCGTAGACCGCGCCCCATTGCCTCGCATGTTTCTCCGCCAAGGTCATCTCCGCACCCTCAACCTCCTCCTCGGCGTCAAACCGTCGCAGTTTTCTAAGCAACTCGTCACGGCGACGCAGCGCCAACTGTCGCCGTTCACATGCAGCGGCGCGGCGTTCCTCCTCCGACTGCAGCATCAGCCGCTCAAGCAGCCTTCGCTGCTTCGGCAGCGTTCGCATCTCCGCCTCGGCGAGCTGCATGTACGTCTTCATCGCGCCGCTACCTGCGGCCTTGTTGGCGGCCAGCGCGCGGCAGAGGCCCCCCGTCTCTTTTTTCGCCACCTCCTCGAAACTGTACCGCATCCGCACACACACCCGCCGTCGCCGCTTGCTTTCCGCCGCGTGAACTCCTCACCGCCCCGAGAGGTGGCGCCCGTGAAGGCGAGTCACAAGAAAAAAAAAAAAGGTAAATAAAAAAAAAAGGGGAAGACAAAAGAGGCTGCAGACGACGCCGCCGCCGCCGCCGCTGCGGGGCGTGAGCCACAAGCCAAAATAACCGTGATACTCCCACTGCAGGAATTGCAGGGCGTGAGCCCACCGAGGAGGAGGAGGAGGTAGTTGAAAACGAAAACAAACAAACAAAAGTCCGGTAAATTTTGGCCTCGGCCGCACACCGAGCGCCCACCTCTCCCAAGTGACGCGGAGGGTGAGTTTCTTCTTCGTTCGCTCTACCAGCGTTTGTTCTTGTTTTTTCGGCTGCTCCCTTGTTCTATTTACCTTCGTCTTTCTTTTTTTTTTCCGTCTCTCGCTCACGGTGTGTGTGTGTGTGTGTTTCCCAGCGGAGCGGACGAAAAAAAAAATAGGAGATCACGCGGCGTTTAAAAGGAGGGGGAGGAGGGGGAGGAGGTGTCGCGGTTCACCCACAAGAGATCGTACCAACTTGAGTACTTCTCGTTGTCCTGGTAAATGTACTGCATGGCGGTGCGCATCGACGGCTGCACGGCCTCGCCGTGGTACAGGAAGAGCGGCATGACGATCATCCACAGCACGCCCGAGTAAAAGCGGAAGGCATTTGGTGGGATCTTCCAGCCGTACTTGCCTGCGAGAATGAAGAGCATCGCGCTCAGAATACGGGAGAGAATGTACATGCTCATCTGCACCGTTACAGGACTCTGCTCCCCCCAAAAGACGGAACCGACAATAAACCCGGCCAACGCACTGTGCCACATGTGGGGCTCACCCTGCAGCTTACGGAGAATCGACCGCACCAGCGACACGGTCAGGCCAGCCAACCCTAGAGAGATGCTGTGCTTCCTGGTGGCCGCGTAGATTCTGCGCGCCTTCACGCGCCATGGGGCGTGGCTCCACACGACATTCAGCACAAGGGCATGCGGCGCGCGAATGCGGACGCCGTAGACAAAGCCGTTGCGGAAGCCCTTAATGGCGTCCAGCAGCACTTTGTATTTCCCCGAGCGAATCATATCATCAATGAGAAGAGCCGCCTCCTTTGGCAGCGCCGTGGGCTTCAACGCAGACGCATCAGCCCCCGCAGAAGCCATCCCCGTCCAGAGAACACGCTGCAAGCACACTGTGACCTCGGCGACCCGCCAGCGGCGCGGCGCACACAATCGCCCAAAGGAAAGAAACAAAGAAACTAGGAAAAAAAATAATAATTGGTTCTGGCACATCCGGGCAAAGCCAACAGCAGACGTGTCAAACGAGGCCAGAAACAAAACCAACGAGGGGGGGGAAAAAAAGGTGCACAAAGACAAGAGGAACACCGTTCCGATGAGGCATCCCCCACCCCCAAACTTCGCGCGGCGGTCCTTCGGTGCCGCAACGCCCCTCCAAAGCGACTTCTCAATCGAAGCATCCAAAAGTGTGTGTCCGTATATATAAATATACTCTCAGAGCTGCAGAGGACCTTTTAGTGAGGCCGATGATTCAGGTGCCGCGTTACTCGCCTTCCATACTGCATCGGCGCAGCATCTTGGGCACCGCGGGATCATCTTCGACGGGCGCACGTCCCCAAGCAGGCTGGTCTTGTATCCACAGTGTTCACACTCAATGAAGCGTCGTGTTGTCTCCCTTGTCTCCAAGGTGTGCCGTAGCATCTTGCAGCGGTCGTTGCGGCGCAGATACCAACGTTCGCACTGCCGGCAGTAAACTCCCTTTACAGTTTGCTCCGTCACTCCCGCGAGGGCTTCAAGGGCTTTGTCCTGCACGAGACGTCGCTCCATGCGATGCTCAAACTTGCGCCGCTCATCCGCGACGCGGAGGTCGTCGTTCACGCTGCCCATGGCGCCCGCCACGACGCTGAGCAGTGATGTAGAGGCGGGGGCCGCGCCCTCCGCATGCGGGGCGGCTTCCTCGCTTTCTGCCTGGGCACGTGAGGCCCCCGTTTGTGCGAGAACGCCATCACTGCGGAGGCGTTGCTCCACAGCAGAAACAATGGAACTTGTTGTGCCGTCGGCTCGCCTCGTCACGACGCGATGCTGATAGTCCTGACGGCGGAGACGCACCTCCTCAAAGCCGCTGCATCGCATCGGGGCGAAGGAGGACGGGGCGCGGTCGCCCAACGGCGGCGCGTACTGCTCACGAACCGCCTCCACCTCCTGCGCCACCGTCGCCGCTGCGGAGGAGCTGCTGTCGTTGCGGGAGCGTTTGACGCCCAACTCCTTCGGTGTAATCGCAAGTTGCAGCAGCCGTCGGCGCTCTTTTGCGTCTTCCTGGTGCACCGCCGCGGCAAGGACGGCTCGCCCGCGTGCCGTGACGCCAAGCGACTGCGGGGAGCTGAAAACACGTCCCACGTCACGGCACATCCCCGTGACGGGCAACGCACCGCCCGACACAACACCCGCGTAGGCCCCAGCGGCGGAGGTGACGTCGGAGCCGGCGGGCGTCGTCGTTGGTAGCCCACACGAGCCCTTCACCGTTAAGAACCCCGGCTGCTGGCGCACCAACGACTGCAGGGCAGTCTTGGACGCGACCACGCCCGTTGGGTTCCGCGGCAAAAGATTCACACGTGTGGCGCCAGATGCAAAGCTCGTGGGGGGTCGCTTGGCACTCGCCGGAGACTGCGGCCGTGTGGCGGTGGCCGACGACGCCGCACCGCCACGCGCCGCCCGCCGCAGATTCGAGACGTGGTTTGAGCAAAACTTTGAAATCGCGCCGTTCACAATCCGATTGCAGCGTTCCCCGGTGTGCTGCTGAATCGCTTGGCAAGTGGCGAGATCCGCTGCGTAGCCAAGGGCACGCACCTGCTCCCCCTTCACCACCTTCAGCAGCTCTGAAGTGTTGCTCCCAACACCGCCAGTGTTCGTCCTGGGTGCAGCAGCAGGAGTCAACGTGGTGGCTGCGGTTTGCGCGCTGCTTGCGGACGCTTCCCTGCGACCTTCCATCCGCTGCACGCCGGAGAGCGCCAGCACGATCCCTGTCGCAATCCTTGTGTAGTGCACGTCAAACGCCGAGCCGCCAAGCAGGACAGACAGCTCCTCCGGCGGGGTTGGGAAGGGTCCTCGCATGCTCCATAGCGTGGCTATGCCGTAGGTGTGTTTGCCATTTTTTTGCCGTGGATCTGTCTTTCGAACGACGACGCCTATAACCGTCAGCGAGGGAGGTGCGCCCGCAGCGGCAAGGCGACGGCGCGTCTCCATAAAAGTGGCATAGGGGTGTTGCACAAGCACCAGTGATAGTTGCTCGCAGCTCTTCGTGGGGTGGCTAACGGTAATGCCGCTGCTGGGCTCCTGCATCGCGGCCGCACGCACGCGCTCCGCGGGGGAGTGCCGGTTGACGGCGGCCGCCGCCTCAAGACCCTCGCGGGGAGACGCAGAAACGATATGCATGATGGACGATGCGCCGCTTGGGGCGGCGCTGCCCAACGCCTCCGTGACGGAGACACTGCGACCGCCCCCCAACGGGGGGCCCGACACGGTCGGCGACGCCTCAGCGGCGACGGTGCGGCCGCCGGAAGCCGCGGGTGCCGTCAACGCCGCGGGCGTCGCTGGCGAGGACGTATTGAACACCGCAAAGGGATCCTCCTCGTCGTCGACGTCGACGCCGGCGTTCGTTGCGTGCCGCGTCTCCTCCATCACCTCCAGCCGCCGCCCTTCTCCCTCTCTTCCCCACGGCACTGCAGCGCCCAAAAAAAAACACGGAGCTACACAGACACAAAAAGAGAGAGCAAGCAAGCAAGCAAGGCGGCAGCCGCATTGACCAGCGCAGACCAAAGGAGAACGGCACTAATAAGTGGGGGTTAGGGCAAGCCTAACATTCAACCAAGCAGAAAAACAAACAAAAACGAGCAACATTCATTCTAAGGGAAGGAGACGCAGCAGAAGGAGGGTCAACCTAAACAAACACACCCACACACACACACGCACACACCCACACAAAGGGAGACCAAGGAACTGTGAACATCCCCCATCACAGAAAGAAAAAGATGACGCACCATAGACGAGTGGCCTCTTCACCTCGTTCCCACTCATGCGTGGTGAAGTCCCGGAGGGGGCGGTCACATCCCTCCCCCTCCTCTTCGCGTACACTTTGTGTTGCCTCCTTTAGCACAGGACACGGCCTCACGCAGCCCGCTGACGCTCAGCCTTTATATATATATATATACATACATACATGCCTACATACATGCGGTTATTATTACCAATGAAAAAATGACGGGTGTATACATAGTGGGCCACACGAATATGCGGCTACGTGAAAGAAGGGGAGCATGGCAACCCACACCAGAAGGAGAAAGAGGGGGAGGGGAAAAAAGTGTACATTTCAACACAAAGCAATAACAACAACAACAAAAAAAAGTAAAACTTGTGTGTGTGCGTGTTTTATTTCCCTCTCCCACCTCCCCCACTTCTGCTGAGGTGTTGCCTGGAAGAAGGGGAGAAATGTGATGTGTTTGTGCGGGGGGAGCAGCACACCCCTCTCCCCCCTCGCTCGCTCGCTCTACATGATGCTCACACCCACGAAAATGCAAAATGCACAGCAACAAGTAGCAATAATTATAATCACAACCTGACGAGCACAGAACCCTTCAACGCGTCTTCCTTATGGAAGGAAACCGGTCTCGGGTTCCTCGTTTTGCACTGCCGTCCACCGCATTCGGTGCTGAGCCTGTGCGAGGCAAAAACATGGAGGCTCCACGGCCGTCATTAGTAGCCGAAGCCGCCGCCCCCGTGGCTGACACCAACGCCGTCCCGGCGAGAGTCCTAGCACGACTCTTCTTCCGCCGCAGGCGTGACGGCGGCTGCGGGATCAGGGTTGGGCGCGCGGAGGGAATCTCAGGCAGGATGGTGCGCCGCATGGAGGTCAAGGGTTCTACGATGCTGCCAAGTGGTGGCTGGCCCTCTTCCTGCCGCAGGACTGTCTCGTCCTGCTCGCTTCTCGTGACAGCGCGAATCATGGGGTTGTTGTAGCTCATGCCATCCGCGTTTTCCACCACAACTTGGATCGTGTACTCTGTCGACGGCTCCAGGTCCTCCAACGTGTAGCTGGTGGTGCGGGAGGAGGTGGTCACGAGGATCGGCGTTTGCTCGCGGATGCCGAGGTAGACGCGGTACGTCAAGGTGCGTGCCTGGCGCGAGGTGCCTGCGATCTCGGACCGCGACTGCGCCCACGTCACGGTGATGAAGTTGCGTGCAATGGCCGTGACGGTGAGGTTCGTCACCGCCTCCGGCGGGGCGCCGCTTGACAGCTTCACCGGCTCACAGAAGTCACTGAACTCATGGCCCTCGCCCACCCGCGCGGCCTTGACGCGGCAGCGCATCTTGTTCGGCGGGACAGTGAACCGCACCCGGCAGAAGGTGTCCTCCACCATTTCAGTCACCCGCCACTCCGTCCCGCCCTTTGCTTTCCCGCGGGTCTCGGCCGCCGCACATGCCTGCTCCACCACGTAGCGGTAGAGGTAGCGGTTGTCGGGGGCCTCCCACTGCAGCATGCAGAACTGAGCGTTGAGGCGGTGCAGCGCCACGGAGTGGGGTGGAAACGGTGCCGTCTCCACCATCAGCTCCGCCCACGCCCCCCACATCCCGTTTTCATCCAGGGCGCGGGCGCGGGCCTTGTACGAGGTGGAGCTTTCCAGCCCCTCCAGCTCACAAATCGTCTTGGTTGGGTCCTCCGGGTCCACCGCAAACTCGCGCTCCATGACAACATTCTCCCTCCTTGGTGGCAGAAACATGACGGCGCTGCGTGACAAACTTCCACGCTCCCGCCACTCGTGCACGGCAACCTCGTCCCCTATCGTCACGCTGGCAACACGATCCTTGGCCGCGGGCGGCCTGTCACCCGTATCAGTTGCATGAGCATCTGCGTCAACAACGGCACCAGGCACGCTGGCCGCGTGCTCTGCGTCGGCCACCAGGGTTGTAGGAGACGCAATCGCAGACCGTTCTGCATCCGCCCCCGCAGAGAGCTCAGGAATCGTTGTGGTGAGATTTGCAGGCGTCGAGGTACCAGGAACAGAAGCGGTATTCACAGACTGTGCTGTCCCCGTGGAGATGGGGAAGAGGCCGGCAAAAACGTTCGTGTCACTTCCACGCTCCTTTTCAGGCTCCGTGTGCTGCTCATCCACCTTGAGGAGCACCAGCTGGTAACTGACAACATTCGCGGACGGCACCGTCCGCTCGGGACTTTCGCTTCCTTCCTCGACAGTGCTCCCCTCGACTGACGGTGTCTCGGGGATGCGACCAAGCGCAAACACCAGACGGTCCGAGCCAATGGTGGCAGGCGTGATGCTGATGGGCTGCCGCGTCTTAAAGCTGATGGAGGGGGTCCATAACCCCCAGCGGTTTTCTTCGTAGCCCGGCTGCAGCGCCATGAGGTAGCTTGTCGCCGGGGTGAGTCCCTCCACCACGTAGGTGGGCAGCTTGAAGTCATCCTCCGTCACCCCACACTCGCTGTGCTGAATCAGACGCTCAATGGTCTCGGCGCCGGCCTTCAGCAGCAACTGGTACACGATGGGCTCCGCCTTGGTGCCGGCACTGCGCCCGTCCTCGGAGCAATCCACCTCGGCACGCTCCCACTTTACCCGCACGCAGTTTTCTCCCACGGTTTCCACGCAAAGGCTCAACACCCGCTGGGTGCGGAAGCATCCCTCTTTGCTCCAAAGCCCCCAACGTGACTCTCTGTTGCAGGAACGCAGAATCGCCACATAGGGCGTGTCGGCCGCGAGAGAGCCAAGGCAGTAGCGGGTGACATCCTTCGGGAACTGCTTGTCGACCACAGCAAGCGAGGGGGTGTGTTGGCTGAAGAAAACGCACAGCTGGTACGCGATCACTTCGGGGCTGCCAAGCTGCACGACGCCGCCCCCCTCGCCCACCGTCTCAGTGTACTCCTCGGGCGTCTGCTCCTCACGCTCCCACTCCACCACGGCAAACTGCTCCGCCGCAGGCCCAACGGTCAACTGCATCGGCTTCAGTGTGGCGAAGAGCACGCGATCGCTCCACAAGCTCCACACGTCGCGCCGCGCGTCGGACGAGCGTACAGTCACGGAATACACGTTATTTGACTCCAGATGTTTTACGCGATATGTGTTGCGTGTTGCCTTGAACTTCTTGCTTACGTGAAACCTGTGGTCAATCCCCACCACCTCGAGGTGGAAGCGGTCAATGTTATCGCCGCTGCCACAAAACACCTCTGTGCCATCCGGAAGGGATAAACTACGACGTGGTCGCTGCCAGGAAAAGGATGCGTAGTCTTCCCCAATGTTGGCGATATCAATGACGAGTTTCGGCAGCGTCCGCACAAAGAGATTGCGGCTCCAGTGACCCCAGATGTTGTCCACGCAGCAGCGCACATCAATGCGGTACAAGCCGTCGGGCCGCAGGTTCTGCGCCGTGAAGAACGTCTCATGGGCATCAAGCGACTGGTCAATGTGCACGGGCGCGGTGCTCGCGTCAAGCACGGCGCCCTCCGGCGTCACCTCGTCAATGCGGAGGTGGTATCCCTGCACAGGCATCTGGGCAAATGAGTTGCGAACGGGCAACGCCTGTGCCCGGGGGTCCCGCTCCCAGCGCACCACAAAGAAGTCCTCCGCGCTGTCCTCCATGATACACACCATGTCACGCAGCGTCACGTCGTAGAGGCACTCGCCCCACGTCCCAGGCGAGGCGCGGCTGCGCTGTATCCCCTCCAGCACCTGCTCGTCGTCCGTCCGCGGAACCTCCACCGGGGCATCTTCCACAAACGCCTCAAGCGGCTTGTACCACCGCCGAACGCAGACACGGTAGCGGTGATGGGAGAGTAGTTCCTTGACGGTGCAGGACCGAGCCTTTGCCGGCACAAACACGGTGCGCCTCAGCCGAGGCGTCAGCTCCGCCGCGTCCTCTTCACCAAAGGAAACATCCGTGAAGTCATGCACCGCGATCTCGTAAAAGACGGTGTCCTCGCTGCGCCCAAAATTTACCGAGTTCGCGTCGTAGGTGATGGGCAGTCGCTGCCATGCGGCGGTCAAGTAATCCTCGCCAAGCCCCCGCAACTCCACCGTGATGAGGTTCAGCGTGCCACTCGTGACGTAGGCGCTGCTGACGCCCCACTCGCCGCTGCCGTAGCGGGCAGAAACCGCCAGTAAGTAGCGCGTGTCCGGTCGCAGCGAGGGAACGGTAAAACTGGTGGCATCCCCAGGCACCTCAATGGTGTAGTCCTCACCCCCGTCTGCGCCCCGCACACTCACCGCGTACATCTCAATTTTTGTCTTGGCACTTTTGTACACCACCGTCTTGCGCTCTGGGCAATCCATTAGCGGGTACTTTTTGCGGATCGCGTTGCGCAGCGGCTGCGGGTGCGAAAAGGCGTCCTCGGCATTCGTCTCTGCCGGCGGGTGCGGCGTGGCGCCCCCCGAGACGCCCTCCACGGCGCCACTGACTCGTCGCTCGCGACCGCCGTCGTTCTCGTTCGCGTCGCCCCCGCCGGCTGCGGCTGCGGCTGCGGTTGCATCCGCCTCTTCACCCAACTCCGTGACGGAGGCGTCGGTGCCGCCTTTGTTGAACTGCCGCGGGGAGCACTGCCCGTCCCCCCCAATCTGCAGCTCGTCTGGCTCCTCGCGTGTCCAGAAGAAGCGGATGTAGTCCTCCCCCACGGCGGCAACCTCGGCGCAGATGAGCTTCATGGTGTACACGCAGCGCTCCTCCGACCACAGCCCCCACTCCCCGAGGAGGTTCGTCGCCCGCACGGAAACCACGTACGGCGTGTTTGGGGCCAACGAGGCCAGAGAAAAGTTGCAGACGCCGCCAGGAAAGCTCTTCTCAAGCAAGAGGTTACGGGCGCACTCCCCGCCCTGGTGGACGCGCAAGAGATAGCTGCCACACTCCCGTCTCCCAACACAAATTGCGGGGTCGTATTCACCGCCCGTCTCTGCACACGCCGGCCGCTGCTCCTCACGCCCCCACTCCAGCATGATGGACTGCTCCGAGATCTCGGTTGGCTGCACCTTCACACGGTCAAGCGTCACGACGCGCAACGTCTCCGACCACAGACTCTGCACATCCACGTCATTGATAGAGTACACCCTGGCACTGTACACCGTATTCAACGCGAGACCCTTGAGGTGGTAAGAGTTGTTGAGGTGACCCTGCAGCTGCTCACGCATGTAAAATCCATCGGCACCCTTCACCTCCAGTACGTATGCGATCGTCACGTAGTGTCCTGTAAAGACCTGACTCATATTTAGCCGTGGGTGCTCTCGCGGCGGCAGGCGTTGCCAGGAGAGATCCACGTACTGTTCGTCAATGTTCTGCGCTGACAGCTTGATCTTCGACATGGTGAGGAAGTGCTGGTCACTGCTCCACGCACCCAGGCGATCCCCCGGCGTCTCACACATCACCTGCAGATTGTAGAATCGGTCTGGGCGCAAGTTCTCAAGGCGAAAGTGCGTGGTGTCCTTGTCAAAGCGCCGAATCAGATACTGACGGCCATGCCGCTCCCCCACAAACTCCACAGGGTGCTCCTGCCGTGGTAGCACCCCCCGCAGAAGCTGGTTGGAGGCAAATATGTCCTCCATCTCATCTGCCAGTGCCGCATCCGCCGGGCTCTCTCGCGGCTCCTCGCAGGGCACCATGTGTGCCTCACCCTCCGCATCGGTCTCCGGCAGTTCCTGAACCCGCACGTAGTAGGAGAGCTTTTCCAGGTCGTACTGCAGGACGTCGAGGTCATCGTCATAGTCGACGCGTCGGTCCTTGCGGTACCATGCGAACTCCGCCCAGTCCTCACCAAGCTCCTTCACAATTGATTGCATTCCGGGCAACGTCACGCATGTCCTTGGGGCGCACCACAGACCCCAATCCCCCTCCGCATCCCACTCACGGACGGCAAAGGTGTACTTTGTGTCTGTGCGTAGCTTGTCAACACGAAACACGTTAAAGGAGCGCATTGTGCGGTACTCCTCCATGAGTTTACCGTCATTCTCCTCGTCCTCCCAGGTGATACGGACTTGGCACACGCGTGCCTCGCTTGAGACGGCGTCGCTTGTCAGTACGGTGCCCTCCTCATCGGGTGGGAGGCGCTTGTTGGGGGCCCGGTACCACTCAATGTCGACAAACACCTCCGAGATGTACGTGATGGAGAGTTGGATAAGATTTTGTGTCATAAATCGCAGCGGCGCCGCCCACGGCCCCCATGCGAAGCCATAGTCGGCGCACAGCAGGGCAATATACATGGTATTCGACACCAGCCCGGTCACGGTGTAGGCGCCGTTGATCGAAATTGCGGTGTCGGTGGTGGCGGAAGTGGCGGCCTCGGTGGTGGCGCTGTCGCTCGTGCCGTGGCCGTTGCTCCTGCCGTTGGAGCTGCCGTCGATGTAGTAGTCCTTGAAGGTCCCACTCTCGTGGATGATGCGCAGCTGGTACCCCCTCACCGGGGTGGCCTCATGCACCACCACCTCCCCAAGTCCACGCGACAGCTGCGACTGCACGCTTGCCACGTAACGCTTCAGGTCGCGCCAGCCCTTGAGCCCCTCCAGCAGCGCATTGTACTCCGACTCCGGCAGCTCCCGCTTCTTGTCCTCAAGGTCCTTGGGCGACATGTGGCTGAACTCCCTGTTCAGCTCCTGCAGCCGCGCCTCATCGTCGTCCATTCGCCGCCTGAACGCGGCGGGAAGGCGGTGCCAGTACAAGTTGATGTAGTGCTCTCCAAAGCGATTCTGGTGAAGCTCGATAAGCTCAAGCGCCGTGAAGCTCTCGCGCTGGCTCCACGGACACCACTCCCCCGCCGCATTGCGGGCGCGCAGCTGCACGGCAAACCGGGCGCACGGCGCCAAGTCCTTCACCGTGACACTCATAACGTGTGCGCCCAGCTGGACGTCGATAAGCGGGGCCTCCTCCCTGGCGAGGCCCTCGTCGCCGGGCCCGGCGGCTGGCACGCCGCCGCCGCCGCCGCCGCCGCCGCCCGTCAATGCCTCAGCCGAAACGCGATCGGCGTTCTCCTCCGGGCTCGGCTGCCGTCGCTGTCTGCTTGACACCTTTCGCGTGTTCTCTGGTCGCCGCCGCCGCGCCGAGTGCGGCCGGCGTTGCTGCAGCAGCATGCGTTGGAGTCCCGGAATGGAGGGCATGCATCCCCCAACCTGCCCCATAAACTTCAGCTGGTAGCCCGTCACCTCGGCGTCGCCCAGGGCGACGTTCTCCGCCTGCAAGTGATGCACCGCATCCATGCGACGCGCGGCGTTGTGCTCTCGCCGCACCGCCAAGTGGTCACTCAAATACTTGCGTTCCGCCAACTCCTCCATCTCCTGCGCGCGTCGCTTTAACTCAAAGAGGTCCTGCCGCTCACGCTCGTCGCACCGTCGCTCCTCCTCCGCACGGCGACTTTGCAACAGGGCGTCGTAACTCATGATGTCCTGCGGAGCACGGAACCACCGCAGCAGGACAATGGATTCCGTGTAGTGGGAGAGCTCAACGCACATGGGCGTGAGCGTCAGCAACGACTCCCGCCGCGACAGCATCGACCAGTGCTGCTTCTCACTCTGCGAGCGAATACACACGGAGTAAATCTGGTTGTGCTCCAGCCCCGAGATGCGCACCGACATCTTCTCCTTCGGCAGCGTAAGGCACTGCTGCAGGTCGCACGTGACTCCCTCCACGTACAACTCATACCGATCCACGGAGTAGTCACTGACCAGGACGGCGTCAAAGTCGTCACTGCTGCCCTCCCAGCGAGAGCAGCCGTTGTTACCGCTGTTGTTATTGTTGTCGTTGCTGTTCGGGTCGTCTTTTGTGTCCCGCTCCGCCGCCTCCTGCTCCACTGCATCCGCGTCGGTCTTCCGCCGTGGCGAGGAGCCGGGGCGGCCGCCAGGGTTGGCGTAGTCGGCGCGTGAGAGCGCCCACTCGGGCAGCGGACGGCTCCAGCTGACGACAAAGACGTCTTCGTACACGGCAAGCACCTTCACCTGCAGGCGACTCTGCGACACAAACTTTGTGGTGGTGCTCCACGGCCCCCAGTAGCCCTCCGTCTGGGCGCGGATGCTCACGGCGTAGATGGTGTTGCTCACCAAATTCCCCAGGTGGTAGGAGGTCTCACTCGGCTCCAGCGGCACAACCGTATCCAGCGCCAGTGGTCCATGGTAAGTCTCCTTTGCCTTCTCGTCCAGTCGCACCGCGCGCATTTCGTACGCCGTGACCTTCCCCAGTCCCGTGACGAGGCTGATGTCGGACGCCATGTCCGCCAGCCGCTGCACCCGATGCCACCCCACAAGGCAGTAATCCTCTCCAATCTCGATTGGGACCACGCGCATTGGGTTGACCGTCTCCACCACCTGCATCGCAGAGAAGCATCCCCACGCGTCTGGCACGAACTCACCCTGCGCATCAACCATCTGTTCCCGAACCACGACACGGTAGCGTACGCCCGGGGCGAGGTTAAACAAACGCAGGGATGGCTGAGAGGTCTCATACACCCGTGCACCAGCCACAAGAGGCTCATCCTCTTCATCAAACGGTGGCTCCGTCGCAAGCGGTTCAATGTGCACCTGATAATTATGGATGTCTGTCGCAGGTGGAAAACATATAAATCCTTCTGGTAGCGTCTGTTTCGCAGGCGGCCGGCTCCATGAGACGTAAATGAATGTTTCGGTGACGCTGTCGGCCGTGAGCGCCAAAAGAGGACACGTCACCAGCTTGCGTGGCGGGCTCCAGTGACCCCACGCACCTCCCTTGTCTTGCCCCCGCACAGACACCGAATAGGCGGCATACGGCAGCAACGCGTCGATAATGCGCTGTAGCTCCTCGGCAGGGACGTACAACTCTGCAAAGTCCTCGGTACCGGGTTGGCCACCAAAAATGCGTTGCCCCTGGACACGCAAGTGCCACTGTAGCACGCCGTCGTCGCCACGAAGCAGGGCACCGTCGTCATCCTCGTCCTCGTCCTCGTCCTCGTCCTCGTCCTCCTCGTCCTCCTCATCCCTCGCCTCGAGCTCGTCTTCACTGAGGTCTTCGCGGAAGTAATGTCCCTCCTCCTCCGCGTGCGCCTCCTCGGGGCGCGCCAAAGCTTCGTCACCAGAGCCGCCCCCGAGGCCTGCGCCAGACGCCTCTCGCTCGGCGTCCTTGTCGTCGTCGCGGGAGACGTCCGCGCCCTCGCTGTGTGCGGCCTCCGCCGCGTACGTCGCGACGGCCCCGCCAGAGCGATTGTCCTCCGACGAGGAGATGGACTTGGGTCGCCGGGCGGTCCCACGCCGGGCACGTCGACGGCGCAGGAGTTCGCGGCAGCGGCCCCACTCCACCTCCGTGAACGCCTCGCCCACGCGCAGAATCCGCAGGTCCACCGCCTCGAGCGTCAGAAACCGCTTCGCGTCACTCCACAGGCCCCACTCGTCGTAGGTGTCCTTCGCCGCGACCTCGACGGAGTAGGCGCTCGAAAGCCGAAGCGGCGCAAGGGTGCAGGAGGTCTCCCGGAATCCGATGTACCGCGAGACCACCTCCATCCCTTCTTCGTCCAGCACCCGCACCTTGTAGCCGCTCACGGCGCCCTCCACCTCCCGCACAGAGGCCTCCGTGTCCCCCACCGTGTCCCCCACCCATTTTCCGCGCTTCCAGGAGACGGTCACGTAGTCCTCACCGATGGCAGTAACGTCCAGTTCCAGTTTGGGCAAAGTGCGAACCCGGGCCTCGTCGTTCCAGAACCCCCACACACCCTCAAATCCCTTGGCGCAAAGCCATACACGGTACTCCGACGAGGGTTGCAGGTCCTTGAGACGAAAACTGCTGATGTATGGACTCAAGTCATACACGTAGGGAACCTTGCTGCCGGCACGCTCCACCTTTAGTCGGAATTGCTGGACCACATCCTCGGACTCCACGACGGTGTTAACGTCGCGCTCCCCAACCGAGGTGGGCAGATGGCGACGCCACTCCACGACTGCAAAGTGTTCGCCCACGTTTCCAAACGTCACACGCAGTCGGGGTTTGGTGCGAAAGGGCTGGGTAGACCAAAGTCCCCACTCCTGAGTTCCAAAGGACTGCGCCCGGACCTGAAAATTGTACACCGTATCCGGCTGTAAACCACGAAAAAACAGCGTACTGGTATCCATCTCTTTGGTGTATTTAAAATGACCGCCACCAACGATGCTGATCTCGTAAGCTGCAGGAACAACATCCACGTTAAGAGCCGTGTCGTAGTTTACAAAATTTGAAATATCTAACTTGCGCGCCCAGGCAACCCACACGGCGTCTTCGGAAATGTGCTGCACGGCAATATCCATACCAGGGATCGTGCGAAACTTTTCCTCCTCACACCAAACGCCCCATTCATAGTTGTCATTGTATGTCTGTATAGAAACGGCGTACGTCGAGGCAGGGGAAAGACCATCGATGCGCAGTGTGGTCAAGGAATTGTTCAGCTCGTACGTTCGCTGGAATGAGCCACCAATCTCACGCACCTTCACACGCGAGGCGCTGATGGTCCCAAGCCCGCACTTCACGGCGGTAGGGTCCTTCACCTGTGGAGGAATCTGTTGTCGGCTTCGCTTCCAGTCCGCCTTCACAAACTTCTCGCCGATATCGGTAAACTCCACCTGGGTTGCGGGGACCGTGGCGAATAACAGTGAGGGCTGTGACCAAATACCCCACTCACCGTTTACAAGCTTCGAGCGCACCGACACACTGTACACCGTGTTGGAACGCAAGTTTGGAATGGTGTGGTCGGTGTCGTCCGAGGCGCAGAGAATCTCCGTCTGGTAGATGAGTCGATGGTCCGAGGAGTCGGGTGGCAGGGAGGAATTTTGGTGGCGCGCCCGCACGGTGCCCGTGGAGATGTGCGGCGTCGGATTAAGAATGGGCGACGTGACACAGAGCATGAGATTTGGGCGAAACTGCCCAAACGCAATAATGCGGTCGTCGCTGGCGCGGTTGCCATCGTCCTCTGGGAGCCGCTTCTGTTGGAACGGGCGGCGCACGACGATGCAGCAGAACTCTTCAGAAATGAGTTTGGTCTTAATCTCCAGCGTCTTCATCGTGAGGCACCACATGGGGGTGCTCCACAGCCCCCACTCCTCGTCGTTGTAGTTCGCCTTCATCTCGACGCAGTAGTACGTGTCTGGCGTCATGTTGGAGATGCGGTAGGGGGAATCCCCGTCGCCGAGAAACACCTCGGAGTGAATACCCGCGCTGTTGTACACGCGGAGGTGGTAGGAGGTGACGATGCCGCGTCCCGTGGGGTAATTTTTGGGGTTCGCCACCTTCCGACGCTCCCAGGTAATAATGATGTAGTCCTCCGCCACCTCCACGGCCCTTGTCAGGATGGTGTCGCGGGTGAGAATGTGCACCGGCGGACTCCAACGCCCCCAATCACCTCCTTTGCCACAGACGCGAATTTGAATGGTGTACGCCGTGGCAGGAGAGAGGCCGTAAATCTTCAGCTCGCGCAGTTCCGCGGGAAGCGTGTGGTCCTTCGAATACGGGGTGTCCACGCCGTGAATGCGGAGCTGCTGCCCGGTCACGCTGAGGTCCCCGAGGAAGACGCCCTTGTCCACCACCGGGTGGGCGTCGCGGCTCCAGACAAGGTTGACGTAGTTTTCCCCAATGGTGAGGTTGTTGACTGGGATGCGGAACTGCGGGTTGGTGCGGAAGCGCATCGGGCTGCTCCAAAGTCCCCACTTCCCTGTCGCCGTTGACGCCCGCACCACCGCCACGTACTCTCGATCAGGAAGGAGCTCATTCACGCGCAAGGAAGTGTGCTCGCTGGTGACAATCTCGTAGCGGGCGACCTCCGAGTTTCCCCCAAGGTGATACCCGCTCAACGTACTCGGAATCGACTCGCCATCCTCGCGACTACACACAAACACGGCGTATCGGGAGACAAACATGTCAGCATTGGTCACACTCTCCACAACCCGGTTGCTGCACTCGGGAAGCTTGTCCTCATTCCTGCTGCTGCCGCTGTTCCTGACGTTCTCCTCGTCATCGATGTTCTCCCGCTGCCACATGAGTCTAACGAAGTCCTCCCCAATCTCGTGAACAGACGTCGCAACGGAGGCGAGCGTACGCAGCCGCACCTGGCTCCACAGCCCCCACTGTTCCTTCTCATCACAGGCGCGAACGGAGACGATGTAGGTTGTGGCGGGACGCAAGTTGGTAATGGTGTAGTTCGTCTGCAGCACCTGGCGGTGGACAATAGCATCCTCCCCCGTATCCATGCAGCCCACCACCACCTCGTACTTTAAATCTGGAAACGGCTGCTTCGTCGAGATATTCGCCGGCGCCGCCTCCGAGAGTCCACGGCGCCAAACGAGTTGGGCGAAGTCCTCGCCGATGTCCCACACATGCAAGGCCAAGTGCTGCAACGTCTGCATTTGTATCGGCGCGGTAAACTCGCCCCATCCCTCATCACCTGTGACACGATTGTGCTGCCAGCGTCGGCACTTCACCTCATACACGGTGTTAGACTGCAGTGAGCCCACGCGGAAGCCTGGCTCATTCGGCTTACGCTCAATTTCCTCGTCCAGCACCACCGACCGTTCATCCCCTTTACCAATCCGCATCACCACGACGTTGAGGTGCGCCACAGCGGAGGATTGACTTTGGTCCTCCAGAGCGAGGGTAAAGAAGTCCTCGCCGCGTTCGAGAAAGTTCAAGGTGACCTTGGACTGGGTGCGGAACCGCTGCGGCTCCGTCCATAGGCCCCACTCGCCCTGCAGGAAGGTCCGGATCGAGGCGCTGTACTCGGTTCCAGCGGTAAGTCCGCCCAGGTGAATAACTTTGTCCTCCGCGCGTGGGCCAATAGCGCGGACATCCTGCTGCTTGTACCTCGACGTGAGGCTCTGGAGGCAGAACTCCACCTTGGACTCCTCGGGCTCGTCATGTGCCCGCATCCACGTGAAGGAGAGAAACGTCTCCCCGGCGGCAACGACGGAGAGCGCTGGAGTGTCCGCCGTACGCACCTTAAATGGGTCGGAGCGGTTGCCCCAAATTCCCTCTACGGTTAAACTACGTACATAGAAGGTGTACAGCGTGCCTGGTGTCAGGCCCTCCACACGGTACTCGCACTGCTGCTCCGGCAGCTGCACCGGGCTCATCGCGGCGTCCTCCCCCTCATACGAGACCTCGTAGCGGTAGAGCGAGGTCTTCGGGACCGTGTAGCCCACGGCGTCCACGGGGCTCGGCCCGAGACACCAGCTCACCTTCACTGCATCCTCGCCCCGGCTGACGAGCGAGATGACATTTCGCGGTTTCGTGTAGAAGCGGTCCACCTCTGTCCAGTTTTTCATAGTGTTGATAAGCGTCTTGTAGCGAAGCATGACAATGTAGGCGGCGCCGGACTGCAGTCCACGCACGGTGTACATCCGCACCCCGGTTGCGAAGCGGTCGCAAAACTCCTGCACCATGTCGTCCTCGCGAATGATGCGCAGCTCGAAGTCCGAAATGTCCGCGATGCTTTGCGTCGCCTCTGCGTCCCGCTCGGGGACGGTGTTGGCCGTGTCCCGCGGGGGGCGATTCCACTGCACCCGCACGTAGTCCTCGCCGATCTCCTTGATTTGGCCCACGACGGCGTGCAGGGTGCCGGTGCGCGCGGTCGCGGACCAGGCGCTCCACGTCATCGTGTCCGCCGAGTACACGCGAACCCGCGCGAGGTAAAACCTGCCGGCCCGCAACTTCACGACTTTGCGGGCCTTCTCCACCGGCAATTCCTCGTCGAAGCACGTCGTCGGGACGCCGTCAAACTCCTCCAGGTCGAGGCGGAGGCGCCACTTCGTCACCGCGGTGACGTCGTTGGCGAGGTGGGCGCTGTCGAACTCGAACCCAAACTCGCCGAACACCTCCCCCACCCGCAGCACAACCGCGTGGCAGCGGATGCTGCTCTCCCCCTCCTGCGACATTTGCGGCTGCTGCGGCGCCGGCGACGGCCTGTGCGCAAGCGCCTGCTGATCCCTCGTCCCTGCTCTTGACGCCTGCCAAACGGGAGGGAAAAGGGGGGCGGCCTCGCCTTGCCTGCGCGTGTGTGGGCTTGCTCTCGCTCGCTCGCCCTCGCTCACTCACTCTCACTCACTCACTAACGCAGGGGCGGAGTAAAAAAAGTTGCCCAGCAATCAACAGAAACCGAGGGGAAGGGGGGAGGGGAGAAAGAGAAGCAAAAGTGGCAGCCGCTGCAACACGCGACAGAAGAAGCGAGACGCAAGGCCCCACCCCGCACAAGTACGCATACGCAGAGAGGGAGAGAGAGGGGTGGACGCACTGCCCCGCCCACAGCCTCCGCTGCCTCAGCAGGCAGCAACAGCAGTTGCATGAAGCGCCGCAGAAAACGTGCAAACACACACACACACACACGCTATATATATATATATATATATGCACAGGGAGGGAAGAAAAATGGTATTTGAACGACACAAACGTGGAAGCAAAAGACAAAAAAAAAAGTACGACTAAAAAAAAAGGGTGTAGAGGAGGCGCAAAGGCAACGGGGGCAACTTGCCTGCCACCCGTCGCCCGACACGTGGAGACACCACAAGAGACAAATATGCCTGAACACGCAAACAAAGCGACGGGGGAAAGAAACACAAAGACATACATGCATAGATACGCACACGCTCCCTACTTGCTTCATCCGCTACACCAGAGAGAAGGGGTGAGGGGAAGAGGAGGGAAAGAACATACAACAATGCGAAACAAAACATTCTTTGGCTCATCACAATCGACTGACGGCAAAAAAAAAAAACTGCGAGGGTGTGTCTGTGTGTGGACACAGTCAAGCACACGGGTTCCTATTGCAGCCCCTGCGGAATGGGGGGACGAAGCCGCGCACGGTGCTCCCCCCACCCAAGAACAAGAGAGTAAAATCATGCAAATCCAAACTCATAGGCGTGTCGAAGAGAAACCTCCAGCTTCTCGCGCAAGACGGTGGCGGAGGGGTACGGGTGCAGCAGCAGTGAGATGGGTGAGCAGGTGTGGGCGGTTGGGACCGCGTTGGGATCGTCGCCGCATGCCACCTGCACCTTTTCGGGCAGGGGAATCCGCCGCTGCCCGCTACAAAAGAGCAAAAACTGTGAACGCCGCTGGGGCGTCCAGCCGCACACGACTTCCTTCAGCATGCGACGAAGATCCTCGGAGAGCAGGGAGAGGTTCAGCGAGGAGATGACGTCCTCCGCCGTGGCGCAGGCGTTGCCGCACACGCGTTGCTGCAAATCGTCCCAGCGGATGAGCTGCAGCGAGGGTGCCGGTATGACAAACGTAATCCCAGACAGCATGGCAAGCAGCAGCTCATCGTACTGGTGCAGCAGTGCCCGCACGGCCTCCCTGCGACGCTGCGCCGCGGTGGCGTCCTCCTCGTTCTCGTCGGCGGGGGCAATCGTCGTCAGGTCCACCGCGCTGCGTGCGGGCGTCAGGGCGGGGCACACGCGGGCGGAGCGCACCATCCCCATCGTGTCCGCCACGCCCTCGTCGCACCACGCAATGCCCGGGATGGAGTAGAAAAAGTCGTCGTTCAGCAGAAACTCGTCATCGTTCAGGGCCCCCCGCACGGTGTCGTCGATGTCGGCGTGGTAGTCCTCAATGGTGGGCTTGTCGAAGGTCAGAAACTTCCACGTCAGCCGTGGAAAGGTGAGGGAAAACATGAGGTACCCGCTCATCGTCGCGTTGCCGATCAGTTTCCCTAGCCACGTAAAGACGTCCACAAACAAGAGGCGGTGCTCGGGGTTCTCGCGGTAAAAGTCCATGTTCGGCACCACGCTCGCCATCGTCGTGTGGCCCGTGAGGCGGAAGAAGGGCAGCAGCGGGTCCACGCGACGCCCGTCGTCCTCCTCGCGGTAGTTCAGCTCATCGCACATCATGGTGACCACCGAGCGCGTCACGCCGCCCGCGTCGTCGGCCACCTCCCCGGCGAGGCTGATCACGAACATCACGGCGTCCAGGTAAATGTCCGCCTCCTTCGTCTGCCGAAACAGCTGGCCCGTGATCGAGCCCTCGAAGCGTGTCATGAAGTCCAGACTCTCACTGCTCTGCGCCATCGCCTTGGCGCGGTTAAGGTCAATCACCACCTCGCGCTGCTGCCGCGGATTGCTGCGAATCAGACGACGATCAATTTGCCGCTCCACGATGGCCCAGCGTGCGCTGAAAAACAACAGCTGACGCGTCTTTTGGTAACTAAGCATCAGGTACGGCGAATTCCGCAGAATGTCATGGCTCTTCGCCACACTTATCGCCAAAAAGTTGATGGAGCGCAGGTGCTGCAGGTAGGGCCGCAGCCACTCCAGCGCCTTGTCGGCCACCTCTGCGGCGAGAAGCGGGTACTGCGCTATCGCCGCCTGGGCCTGGTCAAACCAGGCACTTGTCGCCAGCAAGGAGTCCAAAGTGAAGCCGCAGTTGACAATCTCGTTGCCGAGGTTGCAGAGCTGCACGTAGAAATCGTAGGACCGCGGCTCGACGTGACTCTCACGCCGTGCCATTTCGTTGGAAAATGGACTGAAGTCCTCGTAGCCGTCCGGCTTAAACTGGGTGTGCCCGAGCCGCACCACCACCCCAACTGGGTCGACGGAGGCGCTGACAAACGGGTAAATCGCCTCCCCCTTGCCCTGTGTCGAGACGGTGACCCACATCAGCTGCTCGCCATTCACGCTCCAGCACATCATCATCGCGTCAAGGTCAAGTAGTGCGCCGATGACGTCGCTGCCAACAATAGGGCGCGGGGTCGGAATCGCCTGCTCGCCGGTCAGCACGCGCAGCTGGTCCTGGCAATTGAAGCCCCAGGAGTGTATATCGCTTCCGACGTGTTGGCCACCGCTAAGCACCTCATGCTGCATCGTCCCCCACCCCATCACGACCGTCTTGCCGCGGTCAGTGCCAAGGTTTGCTGGAACCACCAGCTCGTAGTAGTACCGGCCGCCCTTGCTCGCCAGCACCCCAACACTGCCCCGCACCTGCCCCACAATAAGCTCCCCACCGTCGCCCATGCGTGTGTCCGGCAGCTCCACGAGATAGGGAAAGATGTCAGGTGAGGGCTCGTCAAAAATGGCGGGAAGCCGCTCGCACCGCTCCATCCGCTCCACAGCCTTTATCAGCCAACTTGTGGAAATCACATTTGTCCTGGTGCAAACATCCACGCCCCGAAGCGAGGCATGCACCATCAGTCGCTGCTGCTCCGCCACAATAGGCGTGATCGCCACCACGTCGCGGAGTGAACTGACATTCAGCCGCTGCCCGGCGGACTCCTCGAGTAACGTGTTGAGCGCCGCGTAGCAAACCTCCCGCACCTCACGATCGCCGGCGCACCGCATCGCATTCACGCAAAGGGCATAAAGCAGGTAGTGCCGCTGCTTTTGTAGCGCGGCGTGGCTGTTCACCAGCACCCGGGCGACTGAGGAAAGAGAGCGGATCACCTGCCCACTACGCGTCCCCGCGAGCAGAATGCGTAAGGAGGAGGAGCAAATGCCCCGTGCCGCCTCAAACGGGACCTTCTCAAGTCCGGCCAACCAAGCGTCATCCAACACGCGGAGGCGGTGCAAGACTTCACTGTTTGAGAGTTGATGCGGGGCAAGTTCCGGCCCCCAACGGCAAACAATGCGACTGCAAAAGAAGAGGATAGCAGGAACCAGCGCACTGGAGCTTTCCGCCAGTTTTTTCTGCTGCTGAGGCTGCTGAGGCGAGGCGGGGCTCAAAGTGTCGGCTCCAGCCGTACGGATCTGCACGAGCGGCGGAACGTAGCGTGAGAGTTCACTCGCAGCTGGTGACGCCGCCGCTGCAGCCTGCTGCATCCCTTCCAGCGAATACGCGTCGGTGCGCAAGCCCGCGCAGACGGTGACGGTGTCGCCGAGGATAATCTTCCAATCCATCGTGTCACCGGCACCCACAAGTGTGGCCTCAATTAAACCCGTGTACTTCTCCTCCGGCAACCACCTGGATTCGCGTTGGCACTCCTGACAAAAAGCGTGGCAATCAAAATCGTCAAACTTGGTGTACTCCCGATCGCCCCCGCAGCCTTCACAAAAGGCCAGCTTCTTTTCCGCCCTGGAGTCGGTCTCTGAGGCCCCCATGCGTTGATGACCGCAGGTGGTGCAGATGGCATTGTTCTTCGAATTAAAGGCGTAGCCGCACAAGACGCACGTCCACGTCGCGTCTGGGCGGGCAGTCGTGCACATGGCACACCGAGTGGAGTCCGCCAAGTTGATGAAGGTGCATAGCTCGCAGGCCCACTCCTCCTCCAGCTGGGCGCGGGCGGTGGGGTTGTTGGCCCCCTTGTACACACAACTTCCACGCAGAAAGTGGCCTGAGACCAGCTTCGCCGTGAAGGTAAAGAGACCCCGCGTCTCCTCGCCCTCGCCCTCCAGTTCCCCACGAGGGCCCACGCGAATTGTCACGCAGAAGTGAGTTCCCGGAAGGGACCACTCGCAGATAAACCCTGTAAACGGCGACGGCACTCCCAACCGCTGCAGCACGCAGTGCAGTGTGAAGCAGAGGCTGTAGGGGGCCACGTGGCCGTCAGAGGCGCAGTCGCCCCACGGCGCATCGCAGGTTGGGCATCGCAGACACATGTCAGACGCCTTGTCGCCGCCTGCATCGTCGGGTCCCGTGGACCCGCCGCTGTCAAGCAAAAGAGCGTCCTGGGCGTTGGTGTCGCGGGGAAGCGGAAGCGGAAGCCAAAGCGCATCGTCGTCGGGGAGCAGCAGCAGCTCGTTCCAAGCCTCCAGGAGAATGTACTGCCCCTCCGCAGGAATGGCGTCCGGCAGCTCCAGAATGCGTATAAGTTGTGCCAGCAATATTCGAAGTACCTCAACATCGTATGCAAGCAGGGGCGTCAATTCCATCTCTGACAGTAGGCGCAGCGCGCAGAGAAACATCTTGGTTGGCTGAATACGCACCATGTCGCACCCTTTCGCCTTCGTGGTGAAGCTAATGGAGTTGAAGACGATGCGCAGCAGCTCCTCCACCACCGGCGTGACAGGCAACTCATTGCTGATGGCAGCAGTGTAGTTGGGCTCCAACGCCATTGCCAGAACCTTCATGCTCTTTGTGCTGCCCTCCACAAGCACCTCCGCCCTTGAGCCAATCTGTCGCACAAGGTGCACCACACGCGACCCCTTCAACTCACTGCGTGGAGGACTTCGGTACCAGAAGCACCTCTCGTCTCCGTCGGCGCCAAGTACTTGAAGCGCCACCACGTCATCGTCCTTGAGCATCTGATTGAGCCGCGGCAGCAGCTCCGTTCCCCAATGGTACAGCATGGCACGCATGGTGAAGCGGGCGCGGATGCCGATTTCGCGGGGGGGATACAGCCAAAGCGCCAGCGCGTCCCTGTTAAAGAGCTCCACAAATGGAAATAGCACCTTCACCACGGCCGGAATATTCGTGTACAGCGTCCCTAGTGAAAATCCATTCCGTTCAAAGGAGATGCAACGCAGTTTTGTGTGCACAATCACAGTGATGACGTCGCCCGAGCCGAATATGATATTTTCTTCGTTTGACATCCAGTGCTTCGCGTGTCGCGGCAACTCCGACCGCGCCGAGGGAGAGGCGATGTCGGTGAAGTAATCCGTGATGGCGTACGTGTGGGCGATGCTCTGCCACTCGCCAGGGTGGCTTGTCAGGGTCGTCGTCGCGGACATGGGGTACGGGCACGCGAGGCCAACGTTATAGAAGCGGCCAAGGGTGTCGAACGCAAAACTGCGTTGCAGCCGCACGGAGAAGGCGACGACTTCGCCCAAGGAGCCGTCCAGCGGGATGCCCCGCGAGGCAAAGGAGGTGGCGTTCCCCCTCGCACGCGAGGCGCCGCTGGGCGCCGACACGAACTTGATGCGCCGGCCGCCGGAGCAGACGGTGAGTTCCGCGGCGGCGCTCTTCACGGTGAACAACGGCTGGTACGTCAAGGCCGTCACATGTCGCGAGAGTGAGCGGCAGCAGTCCCACAGCGGCTGGGGATTGTAGGCGCCGGGGGCAAACGCACGGTGCGGCTCACACAGCAGCGAACACGCAATCGTCAGCGCCGCGCACCGCTCCCGCTCGCCAACGTCCTCGCAGCAAACCACCCTTGACAGCGTCGACAGCACGTCCACCGGGGACGACAGGCAGCGGACGACGGTGCGTATCATGGTGATGTAATCCATTAGGAAGCGGTGGTAGACAAACGACGCCGCATTCCGCTTCACCCGCTCCGTGGCGTCGTTGACCTGCGACACGGGTGGCAGACGCGTGATGGAGTCGATGAGGCTTTCGACGTTCTGCCTCAGTGAATTGCAGCAGCTATCCACAAATCCTCGCCAGACTTCCTCCGTGTGCAGCGCGTGGACTCGATTCGCTGACGCCGTGGGCGACATCGCCTGCATCGAGGCGCCTGCCGCTCCGCCCTGCCGACGGAACTGCGCCACACGCCTCGCACAGAGCGAGATAAGGTAAAAGAAAACGTTCGTCGCAAACACAGAAATGCTGTGGCGCGTGGGCAGCGCGTTGAGCACCGCGTCGTGGTTGCCGCAAGCCACTGCTGGGGCCGCCTGATACATCTCCTTCTGGGAGCGGAAACACACGCGCAGGCTGCAACTGCGCAGGGCGGAGGAGTCCATGACGCCTGCAAGAAGAAACAGTTGCTGCCGCGGCGCCGGAAACTCCGCGATGCGGACGCCGTTCACAAGCACACATAACGCCCGCGTAGACGTCCTTGGTGCGAAGGAAAAGGAAAAGGCGAGCGTGTCACCCTGAAAAAGTGGGGGCAGTGAAAGCTGAGAGCCATTGTGGTGCAGCTTCCCGTCGTTGGGCAAAAAGTAGAACCCGGCGGGGTCATCCTTCATGCTGTTGGCCGTCAGCCCGCTCAGCTGCTTCGTGGCAAGGGCCACGATGAGTTCGCGCGACGGCGCGCTCACCAGCTGCACCTCCGCCGCGCAAATCGTTGACGGGGAGACGGGGGGGCCGCCCGCCAGCGGCGCCGACGCCGACGACGACAGCGACGAGGACGGAGAGGAAAAGATGCACGGGGCCGGCACCGGCAGCCCCGGCGTGTACAGCGGGGTGGAGCTCGAGCAGACCCGCTCCCGCCCAGTCGGCACCCACACGCCAAGCCCGCGCTCGCTGGCCCCCGTCATTGTCATTCCAATGGACGGCTGGCCCACGCCACTCCCGCGGTCGGCGTAGCCGCCGGCGATGCTGCCGCCGTGGTCCGCGGTGGAGTCGCTGGCAAGGGCCTGCAGCGCCTCCAGCATGCTCCCCTCCTCCATCTCGCTCACCTTAAAGGAGGCGGTGCGGGCGAAATCGGTGAAGTTCGGCAGCAGCCACTCAAGCTGGCCGGCGATTTTGCACCAAACAAAGTCAATATCACGCGCATCCAACGGGGAGGCGAGAAGTGAAAGCGTGACGAGAGCAAACGGGGCAAAGTCGTCCGAGTCCCACAAAAACCGGTGCGGTCCATGCCTCTCCCGCTCCGCCTCCGGCAGCGACATCACGCGGTGCAGCGCCGTGAACACATTTGTCAAAAGCAGATGCACCAACCCACGAATTTCCTCCTCCAAGGACTCCCCGCAGCCGCGAAAACGCCGCAAGTAATGACTTCCCTCACACGCCATAAAATCTCTTAGTAACGAGACTAAGTGAAACATGCCTCTTGGCACAAAGTTCTCCTTTGCCCGTAGCAGCAGTGAGAGTGCGAGGACGCACAGCTCGGCCCGGGTGCGGTTCGTCGACAAGATGTGCCGTATCTCACTCACTGAAATGTTGGAGGTCAGCAGAGCGATGGTCCCCTCCACAATTTGCGGCATGGACAACTGGCACAAGGCGACGTGCTCAAGGACAAACGTGGCCATTTCCGTCGCGCCTGGATTTTTCCCCAGCGAACTACTTGCAAGACCCACACGCTTCACGGCATCCTGCCACAAACGCGACTCCCACGACACTACCTCGGCCTCATGATTGGAAAGAAACATGCCAATCAGACTCAGCGCCGCACGCACACCCCGGGCATCACTCTGGCGACACGGCACGCGCCTGCGCAAGGTGTCCTCATCCAGGCTTAAAATATCCTGCACAAACGTCGGTAAAGCACCTCCCCGCGGCTGCGAAAGCAGCCCGTTACGAAACAGTGCCAGGGATTCCTCCCGCATGCGACCATCGCCTGTTACAATGACGCTCTTCATTCCCTGCAGAACAGCCTCTGCCACGATCAGCTGCGTGCCACTCAAGGTGTTCCGAAGCTCAACCACCCATCTTCCATCCACCTCCAGACTTGTTTCTACACGAATCTCCACCTGTAAGCGCGGTTGCGTGGCACCCTCAGGATTCCGCTTGTAGCGCACCACGGCGTCGCAGCCGCCAAGGAGTTCGTAGGTTTCGCCCTCACGTGGAGCAAACCACAGCGTTTTTATCATTAGACCACCGTCGTTTTCCCCCGTCTCCGCCTCCGCCTCGCCAGCTGCAGGAGTACCAGCAGTAGCTGAGGCAGCGATAGAGGCTCGCGGGACTAACAGCAGCTGTACCCCCTCACAAGAGGAGGCCCGACGAACATGCACACTCACCTTGCGAGCCAGAGGAGCCATTAGGAACGTATCTGTGACCATCGTGGCCGCAACAGCATTGCTGCCGTGATCTGCCCTGTGCGATCGCTCCTGCGCCATTTGGTCACCCATGAGCGACCCCCAATTTGGCCATTGCGAAGGCTGCGGCAGATGGGAATGTGAAGAGCAGCCGCTCGTCTCCTCTTCATCGTCCTCCTCCTCTTCTTCCTCCTCCTTGTCCGCCACCCGCTCCCCCAAGGAAAGCACATACCGCGTGACAAAGGTAGCGTTTGAGAGACACTCATTGCTGAGGCCGCGCCCACGGGAGGGGAGGCGCACAGTGGCAAGCAATTTGCCCACCGTTAGCGTGTCGGTGTTGTTGAATTTTGTGAAGCGGACAATGTCGAGGAGAGGCACCACGACGCCAAAGCCGAAGATGCCCGCCTCCCCAGTGGTGTCCGGCGCGGCGTTCCAACGGTCCAGCACCTCTCGCAAAATAAAAAGAAATACCTGGGCGCCGCGCTTGTGGCTTTGGGCATGCACGGATACATAGGCGGCAGTTGAGACGAGCTGCTTCTGACAATCGTTGTGGGCCACAAACGCCATTTCCACCATCTCCCGCACCCGCTCCGTCAACCACTGCTCATCCTCCTGGCCACCAAAGTATGGAAGCACCCACTCCATCGGCGCCGCCCTGCGTTTCTCGGCGTAGATGCGAGCCTTGCCAGGCGCAACCTCTTCACTTGGAACGGAGCAATCCACAGATCCTCGAGGCGCCTTCGCGCCTTTCGCCTCAACACCCCCGTGTGGCTCTCTCTCGCCCGTTGTCACGTTCTGCGGAGCCAACGGAGAGACAGTCGGTGACACGGACTCTGCCGACTGCCCGGAGGGGACAACCGCACTCGTGACCAAAATGGAATGCAGCGCCTTCCGAAAAAGCGCTAGCCGCAGCGTGTGGCACGTCAGTTGGCCCCACCACGGCTGCATCCAAAAAAAACTAATGGTTTCACTGGCAGTGGCCCCAATGATGCGGGCGAGGTAGACGTCCTCCGCATCTGTCTGGGAAAGGGGGAGCGCCTCCGCGGCCTTGCCGAGATTCTCGCCCTCCCTGTAGCGCAGCAGCGGCCATGCCAGTTGGCAGAGGCGGTCCAGCGGCACACTCATGATGTCGCCGATGGGGCAATCCATCTCCTCCACGGCGGTGAACTTGTGGCGGGGGTGGCCCTGCTGCGGGCGCCCCAACCCCTCCGTGGACAGCATCTGCTCCGCAAACGTGTATGTCACACGAGTCTTCGACGGACTTCAGGCCCAGGCACCGCCCACACGGAAATCAACACGCAGAAAACACACCCTTTCCTCCCCCGCCTCTGCGCGAACGCAAACCTTACTACCTCCTGTGTGAAGCACGCCTTTGTTCTTTGGTCTTTGCCTTTTGCCTCTTTTTGTTCTCTCTCTCTTCTCCTGCTGGCCTCTTCAGCCAAGACTCCTCTTTTTACTGTAGTTGCCTTGTATGCACTCCTCCTCGCCGTCTTTCGCGGCGCCGCTACGTCTCCTGCCTTTCACTCCGCAATTCAGCGGGGCCTCTGCGCGCTAACGAGTTGATTTACTTTCGGTCCCGCTCGTCGGGGAAACGCACGCAGAAACGCCCAAATAATAATAATACTTCGGAAGTTGTCCGGAGCCGACGAACGCCGCCGCAGTAACTCTCCGCGCAAATATAAAAATTTTTTTATTCCCCCTTGGGTCCTTTTCTTTTCTTTTCCTTTCCTCTTCTTTTTTTTGTTCTTTTCTTTTTTTTCTTGTATTTCTCTTTTCTCCGATTGCCTTGAATTGCGTCGCTTCCTTGGCCTCTGTTCACTTCCTTCGTGTGGCCGTGCCTTGCGTTGGCCAGGCGCCCTCCGAGGGAAAAGCGCGGTGCGTGTGGGAAAGAGGCAGAAGAGGGGACGGGGAGAGAGTGAGAACGGGGCGACGCCCACACCAACTCCGCAGAGAAGTCCCAATATGGAAAAAGAGAGAAAAACAAAAAAGAAAGAAACCCAAGACAAGGAATGTTGCGGGCTCGACGCAAGCAGAAAAAGCCACACATGCTAGAAAGACCTCATGCTCCTCCACTTATTTCTCAAGAAGAAAAACCCTCAACAACGCCAGCGGCATCCTCATTCACCCTCAGCAGCCCCCCGCGGCTTGGGTGGGGGGTTTGGCTCACGCCGTCCCTTCGCCCAGCAACGAAAGCTGACGAAGCGCCTTATTGCCGGTCAGCAACGCGGTGCATCCGTAGCTTACCGCCTTCCTCGGGTGTCCAGCCTCCCATGTTTTCAGGTCATCGTACTCCGCGACGCAACCACCCCCGATGGTGAAGACAATGGCCTGCGAAAAGTGTGTTTCCGTCAGGTCCACCGGCTTCCGCGTCCGTGGGTCGTACCCGACGACCGTCTCCAACAGCTTTGCGCGGAGCGTGCTGCCTCCACCCATCGTTCGGGCGGTGGCACCGCCCCTGGGCGACATTGCTGGATCCTGCAAGAGCGCATCTACAAGTTTCGTGAGCGGCAACTCCGACTTGGTGTTGGCGCCAAGCGTACTAGCGATGTTCTTGGCCAACGTCTGCGCCAGGCCCCAGGCGAAGCCTTGCGCGGCACTCGACTCCACGTTTGTCGGGCTCGCCGAGTTCATTGACCAATTGCGTAGGTGTCTGATGTAGGCTAGGGCAGGAAACGGTGCTTCCTCAAAGACCGACGCACATCGCTGCAGCACCGCCTCATACTCCCCCTCTGTGTCTAGCAGGTAGGCAATAAGGTAGAGGCGCTGCCGGTCCTCCAGCGTTCCCAAACCCGTCAAGATAAGTTTCTCAAACTCCTCCTTGTCAAGACCCTCACGCTTAATGATTTCTAATTCCACACCGTGAAACCGGTCAAGGTGGCTTTTGCGGATGTAGTGCAGGAAGCTGTAGGCCATTTTGGTGTGGGCGTCCAACATGCGCTTCTTCTCCCCAAGTTTGGGGGCACTTGCCAACAGTTTTGACATGGCGTTAGCATCCGTGTCGTCCTCTCCGCCGCACGCCGTCTCTGAAAGAGCGGCGTACTCTTCACGGTACTGCCTCAACGCCGCCTCAATGTTCCCTCCAACCGCACTGAAGTCCAGAATGGCATTGGCCTCGTAAAACTCGTCCCGGTCAGGATCAATCTCGAACGCAGTCTCCTTCCCATCCTCCTCATGCACGGTGACCTTGTTTAGGTGCATGTCCCCCACCTCCACCAACAACCCGCGGTAGGAAAAGGGGTGATGCAGCACGGTCGCAAGGTCACTGCAGCGATCTACGATGAGCAGCAGAGGTCGACCAAGCACGGTGGAAGCCGCTGGTACCAGCGTACGTTCGTTCATATGATCATTAAGGCAGACGGCGAGCCGTCGTGCAACTTCCTCTGCTGCCCCCGTTTTACTATGCGCAATAACTGGAAGCACCTGTTGCGACAGCAGGACGTGGGAGATGCCTAGTACCAAGGCATTTAAGTGCGCCTCCACCTCCGCATCCTTCGCGTGACGACTGTTTAAGGTCACCATGGAGTTTTCCTGCATCAACACAAAGAGATCATCCTCTAAAGCAACGTAGTTCAATGTGCGGTCAAAAACGTGAATGTGTTGAATGCTCTGGAGTTTCCCACGGGTAAAGCCTTCCGCAAGCATCTCAAGCCCACCTCGCGACACCTGCGAGCTGAAGTTGACGTACACCCATTCATACAGCTCGTTCACCGCATCGGCGGCAATGGTGCGAATGTTCTCGTCGGTTGGAGAGCAAAAGTAAATGGCAGGGGCGCCAGGCACGGGGTCGCGTTTGGAGTTGATGTGCATGTGCAGCGTGATGCCCAACTCCCGCAGGTCGCCCACCCGCAGCAGAGGGGCGATGACGTCGCGCCCGATATCGTCGTAGATGAGAAGGCGCCATGCCGCGACATTTGGGGTTTCACCTCCACCAGGCTGCGGCACCCCTGCCGGCGTCAGCGGAACGGCGGAGGCGATCATCGCTCGCACAACCTCTTTTTGCCGCTGGCGCAAAAAGTGCTTCTTCTGCCCCAACATTTTGCTCTCGCTCCCCTGCCGAGGTGTGTCCCCGCCTCCCCCGATTTCTGCCCTGCTGCTTCTTTGCCCCCCGTCGCCTCCCTTGTCTTCGCTGCCTGCCTAAGTTTCCCTGCCGAAACAGAGCGGGAAGGAGAAATGCAGGGGTTGCCGTGCTGTGACACCTTCGCTGCCCCCTCCACGGCAGGAGGAGAAAATAATAATAATAAAAGCAACAATAATAAAAGTGGCCTCGTAGGGCGCAGAAGGCACAACAAACAACACACAAACTCCGCCCTGCGCCGCACCGCCCGCCTCGTTGCGATATTCTTCATGAGCGAGGCAGAAGGCCACGCCAACCCCCGGGACCCTCGCCCTGTCGCTATCCCCCTTGCTCGTTCGCAGCAAAGTCATGCGCATTGGGGACCTGGGGGAACGCAATCTCCCAGTACACCGACGGTGTACACGCATCGTGGGCACCCTCGCCGGCCCTCGCGTACATCGCGGCATCTGCCGCATAATCAAGCTGACGTCGGTCGTAGCTGCGCACACAACCACGTGGTTTGTCTTCACACGCAACGGCACCTACGCGCGCGGCGGGTGGCACCGCCTTCGAGGAAAGACACGGTATGGCCGCCAGGATGTCTGTGGCGGTAATAACGCCTTCATCCCCTGCACTGGTAGTGTGCACCTCTACGCGCCTTCGGCGATGACAAGACGCCTCTGCCACGCACGCCTGGCGTGGGCGCTTGGCTGCAGTGACGGGGAAAAACTCATCCAACTCACGTCGCATGGGCGACGGCGTGGCAGAACTGCTTCGCTCACCCTCGTCCTCCTGCGAAGGCGCCACAGGGGAACTACTCTGCGAGCTCTCCGCAGGGGTAGTCACGAGCGGCCGCTCCACCTCTGCTGCCGAATCGGAGTCATGCAGAGCCACTAACGGCGGCGCAGGGGACGCATCCGCCAACTCCTCCACATCCTCCTTCCGCCTCTCTTCGCCCTCGGGCTGCGGTGCAGCCAAGAAAGAGGCATACAGAGAGGAGGGAAGTTCTCCGCGCAAGAGACGCTCCGTCAGGCGCTCCAGCACCTCGGCACGGGCATTGCAGGCAACCTCCTCCTCCCGCAGCGCCCGCACCTGTGCCACATGACGCCGCAGAATGCGGGCGATGCTGGACGCGATGTCGCTATTCACCTCGGCCAGGTGCTCCATCGCACACGCCCACGCACTTGACCGACACAAACCCAAGAGAAAGTAATAATAATAAATAAATAAAGCGAGAGAGGGAGAGAAGAAAGAAAGTGACAGTGCAGAGAGAGGAGATATATTCCTGACACGGTTGGCAAGGAAAGCGATGTGGCACCTACACTTTCGCCGCAAGGGCACCACACGAAAGCCGTGACGCGGCTAAGTGATAAAAACACAACTCAAGTAAGCATGGTTTGTTTGTTTGGTTCTTTTTTTTTTTGATTTTATTTTAAAAAATCAGTGAAAGAAGAAACTGAAATGTCGCTTAAAGCTTCACAGCGTAGACACGCCTGGGGTATTTGCGGGCCATGCGCAGCTGGCGGCGCGTCTTGCGGTTCTTCTCATTGTCCTTCAGCGCGAGGCGGCGGCGGTGGGTCAGCTTTGCGCGGAGGGCCTTTGGCTTGCTCGCACGCAGCTTCTTCTCCGAGTAGAACTTGCGCAGGTTGTCGCGCTCGTTCTGGTTCAGCACGGTGAGGATGCGGGCAATGCTCTTGCGGATCAGACGAATGCGGCCAAGGCGGGTGCCGGCGCTGTTGAGCTGCTGCGCCACGCGAAGCTGCGAGAGCTCCTTCTTGAACTCCATGAGCTGCTTCATCAGCTCATCCTTGTTCTTCTCGCGCAGATCGCGGATCTTGACGTGGTGCGACATCGCTGAGCAACCAAATTGCATCACGAGGGG